GCACAGGGAGGTCTTGTGCTTGGTGCTGTTGCACCAATAGCAGCTGCCGTAGCGGCCGCGGACCTTGTACTCCGCCTCGGTCAAGCCAAACTTGACCAATGGAAATTGTCCTGGCTGTCCATTTCCTGCCTGCGATGCGGATTTCGCCTTCCCATTGTTGCGGGACTTGTTGTTGCTTCGCGGCTGGACAGCAGCCACCTGATCTCCATCACTTGATGCCGGAGTGGCTGCTGAGGTTATCTCCACTGTCCGACTGGACTGCAGCGAACTGCTGCTGTCGCGGACCAGTTCGTACCTTCTCCATATAGGTTGGCTGCCACGTGGACTTCTCATGTGCAGCCGGCCTGTTAGTCTTGATGAGCTCTCTCGCCTTTCTTGATTATCTCCGCGAAAGTGTTGTACTGCTCGCGATCACCAAGTGCGAGGCTGAGAGCGGCGCATGACCTGTTGTAGAACTCACGCCGCAGATGCGGAAATGACAAGTCCAAATCGGGCGTCGCCACGATTTTCTGCCAGTCTGTGAGCCAGTCACGTGTCGGTGTGCTCCCTTGAGCCATCGTGAAGATGTGGTTGACGGCGAGTGTCGGGGCGTCGTCGACGATGAACCGCTTCTTCCATTCCTTTATTATGTCCTCCCAGGACACCTTGTATAGGTCTGACACCTGGACGCCGTGGATGGTTGCCATATGGTTGAGCCAGATCTGACAACCTCCCTTGGTGTTGATGAACAGAGCACTGATGAACAGATGGTCAGGGACTTCGTGAATCCCCAACTCCGTTGTAAATCCTTGCCACCAGACGACCGGGTCTTGATGTGTGTAGTCATCAAATTTCTCGATCCGGAACGTCGGCATCTTGTATGGCCTCGCCGAGCTGTTGTTGTGGCTGTGGTCTGTCTGCTGTTGCTGACTGATCTTGGAGTCCAACAACTCGAACCGCTGGCTGATGGTGGCCGGCTGTGTGAAAACACTTATATCCCCTAGCATTGCCACTACGTGGTCAACGCGTTCCTCCAGTTGGCGGCTCGAGGATGCACTGCTGGAAGCCCCAGCAGCTGGTCCTGGTACAGCCTGTTCCAGGTCCAGTACACGGGTGTCCAGTGCCCGTGTGGCATCCTCGTGCTGAGTCTTCTGATTCCGCACGGCCCGCTGAAGGTTTGCCAGCTCGGACTGTAGGTCGTTACATGTGTAAACCAACCTGCTCACGAGCTTGGCCATGAACTCCCTATGCTGCTCTTCCGGTGTTGGCTCGTCGCCGTTTGGTTCAAAATGCCAGTACTTGAGTTTCTCGATGCTGCTGGCTTCATGCCGCTGCAGCAGAGCCTGGGCTTCCTTGCGGCGAGCCTGGGCATCTGCGTCTGCTTCGGCCTGTAGCCGCAGCTTCTCTACTGTTGCAGCTTCATCAGCCTGTAGCTGGGCAGCCTTGACTGCCAGCTGGCGTTGTTCCTCAGCCTCGATTGCAGCGAGCTGAGCATGGACGCGCTTTTTGTAGTCGGCAATGGGCTCACTGGCCAGTTGGTCTGGCAGGCCCGTCATGTTGCTGACGTGGCACTGCTGACGTGGCACTGTCTGATGTGGCACTGCTGATGTGGCACTGCTTACGTGGCACTGTCTGACGTGGCACTGCTTACATGGCACTGTGTCTGACGTGGCACTGCTGATGTGGCACTGCCTACGTGGCACTGTGTCTGACGTGGCACTGTTGATGTGGCACTGCTTACGTGGCACTGTGTCTGACGTCACTGCTGACGTGGCACTGAGTCTGATGTGGCATTGTGACCTGGCACTGCTGATGTGGCACTGCTGATCTGGCACTGTGACGTGGCACTGTGACGTGGCACTGCTGATCTGGCACTGTGACGTGGCGCTGCTGACGTGGCACTGTACCGAACCGGGATGCATGCAAGGGGTGGGTGGGAGAGAAAATGTAGGTAGGTAACCAACCCAACAATACTTTCCTCCGGCCCTAATCAACAGATAAAATAAAAAAATAAAAAAATAAAAAAATAAAAGAGTACTTCCTTTTTTTTTCCGTATATATCTGTCGATTTATGATGAGTAGGATATGTCAGAAGAGTATGATGAACGAGATCTAGGCTAGGTGCCGCAAAGTTTTGGCTTTTACAAACTGCGATCTTGAAAAAAAAAA